TGGATGTAGTACTTGGCTCATGCAGTGGGGAGTGAAAGTGCGGCTGCTGCCAGTACTTCCACAAAGGGGGCATGGCTGGATAGAGGGTAGCCATGCTCCCCAGTGCTCTTGCTAGCCAGCAGGTATAGGTGGAGCTATAGTGTGTAGAATGCAGGTCACACATTTATAAGCTGTATAAAGCCAGTTACCATGCTTCTCCCAGGCCCTGGGAGTCACTAATCCATAAACAATCATTAAGCCCTATACAGCTCAGCATGGTTGACAAGACCATAATTTTGCCCGTACAGTCCAGATGTGCAAAAGGCCTGTTATATCATCATCTACCTTTGGATGCAGAATTGTCCCCTACTGCACATTTCCTAGCTGTTCTATCCAGTTGAGTTTTAAACATGTCAATGATGAGGCTTCCACCACTTTTTGGGAGAGATTATACCACAAGTTAATAGATTGCACATGCCATTGTAGCTCTGAACATCTGTGTTACTCTTCTTTCCACTTTAAGCCATCTTTTAGTTATGGGAAGTGGAGCAAAGCTGGACAGAACACCGGTGGAGGGATTTGTTGGCTGTAATTTCATTACAATGTGCTCTGTCATTGTATATCTTTTTTATGAACACAACAACTATCCTATTTGCTATTTTCTAGTGTCTTCTACACATTGGGCAGACAAATTTAGGGCCTGTTTTGGCCATTCTTACACCATTTACATAAAATGGACCTTTTGCCCAATAAAGCACTATTTGGTGTGAATAAGAGTGATGGAATTGGGCCCACGATGATCTACGCACAATGACTCCTAGGTCTCTTTCTTTAAAGGATCCCACATGTTGGTAAATGTTTTTTCCCATGGTTTACCAACTGGTAAACGAGGCTATTTCTCATTAGAAGTATTACCTTACCCTTACCCCAGATGAATTTCATCAGTCATCATGCTGCCCAATTTGTCAATACATTTAAGTACACCTGGAGTTCTTCACAATCTTCCATTGTTGTTATGAATCAAAAGACAACTCCTGCAAACCCTTTACAGCTGGATAATCTTTACTCAAAGTCCACCTAAATTCAATAGGTCTACTTGCACGAGCACTGACTGCTAATCTGAGTACGGATTGCAGGACTGGGCCCCCTGAAATGCAATGTCATCATCATCACTAACTCTGTCCACTTCCTCCTTCAGATCACAAATCTTAAATGGCACTAGTCCAAATACAGACTCTTGGTGGTACCCTACTATTAACCTCTCTCCAATCTAAGAAGCAGCTGTTCATTACAACCCTTTGTTTCCTGTTGCTTAACCAGTTTTTAATCCACAACAAAGACTGTCCCTAACCCCACGATTATTTATTTTCCTTAATAGTCTTTTATGAGGGGTCTTATCAAAAGCATCTTGAAAATCCAAGTAAATTAATGTCTCGCAGGTCACCTTTAGTTACTATTTTATTAACTTTTAAAAAAGCAATATGTTGCACTTTTCAGTATCATTAAATGGCTTGGGTGGGTGGAGGGGAGTGATTTCAACCACATTGTGACAGCTACTGTAGTGGCTTAACAGAGCTGTGGTTGAATTAACACAGTTACTCTGTCTGTACTTAAGGATGCTATTTCATTTCCCGGCATCTCTCTGGTCAGGTCAACCACTGGCTCAAGGTGGAAGTGACAAGTTTGCAGCATCTCAAGTGTGCTGTTGTTACCTCTTGGGAGGTTGAGAGGAAGGAAATAACAGTCCATAAAGTTTTGATTGCTTGGAAAAGAAAAGATGTTTGTTGAAAGTCTGAGTAAGGCCAACTGCAAGGCTCAGGAATGAGCAGAACTAGTCACGCATTTGCTGTGTACTCACTACAGCTCTGAACTGATGGAGATTTCCAGTTGGGTATTACTGAGAAGGGGACTTCTTTATTATGTCTAGTAGGGGACCATCTCCTGCCACGAGTCTGGAAGTAAATGGAGAGTTCTCTTTAAAAATGGATGGAACAGTCTGATCTAAAATAGAGGAGGGAGGCAGGGTGGCGGTGGCAAAAACAGTGGCAATGAAGAAGTCAAATGTGCCATGCTCTATTCCTCCCACAATTTAAAATACCAGCATTTGGCAAGCAATGAGCCATATGTTCCCAGGGCTTGCAAGCCAAAAAGTGTAGCAACTTACTATAAAACCTCTCTCCAACTTCTACACACAAGCCAAAACCTCCTACTTGATATGCTGCCTTCACGCCAGCTTACAGCACAATGATGGGCTTCTGCAAGGAGATCTGCAAAAGGATGGCACACTCCACAGACAAGAGAACATGGTGGCTGAGGCAAGGTGGGCGGAATCAGGGGAGAGTCCCCCTGAGGCTGCTCAGTAGCAGTCACACAAGGGTCTCAGAGGGAGGTAACACAACTCTAAATTGTACTTCCCTGCCCCCCCAACGTGGATTTACACATGGAAACCCAGGTCCAGAATAAGGGATGGTGCTGCACAGATCCACAATCTCTTGTTCCACACACCCTCTTCCACCTTGTACCTGAAACCCTCTCAGATTTCCCTTTATGTGAGGCTTTGGAGAGGGGGTCTGTACCATGGGGGCCTTCTCCATGGCAAAGCAGGCTCCCCCCCAGGCACAGAATAGCCAGGGTTCGCCAGAGCACAGTCAGCTGGCTATCAGCAGAAATGTGCTACTCACTATGGCAGGACAAGTGGATTCCTGAGGATACTATATAGGGGCTACCTGCACCTGAAGGATGAGTGGGCTTCCCCTCGGAGTGCGAGCAGCTGCATGTTTCTGTTTGCTGTGACCCCTTGCCATTTGTTCAGTCTCTGCAAATTCTACAACGCAGTGTCTGTAGGGCCTTTTACATCTCTTCAGGGAGTGTTCCTCCCACACCCACACCTCTGGCTGACTGGACAGCAGGTAAGGATGCTGCAGATCTCAAACCTTTCTGGACATTTCTATTAGCTCGACCTGATTAAACAGAGTTAAATTAATACACATTTGGGACCATGCACGTCTAATTTAGAATGGGTAAACTGGGGCACTAAAACACTGGGAAGTATAGAAAAGAGTAACCTGCACCCACCACTACATGCTCCATTCTGCCTCAGAGACCACAGACTGTGGTTTGGGGGGTGGTGGCTTTTAGTGGTGGAGGAGTATGTTGCCAGTTGAACCATCAGTAATTCTCCTCTACGTTGTCGACCCCACCCTCATAGGGGTTACGTCTAGGCACCGAGGGGTATAACCACTGGCAGCATGGTTGCTAAGGCAGCTGTACTGCCAGGGGAGACGGTGATGTGAACTGAGTTGAGAAAGATGTACCTTCTCTATAGAAATGTGGCCTGAAGCGACATCACCTTGTGCTGTGGCTCTGCCAGATCTTATGAGTAAGGCTACGATTTATCATGGGTATTTTTAGTAAAAGTCATGGACAGGTCACGGGCAATAAACAAAAACTCATGGCCCGTGATCTGTCCATGACCTCCACTATAAATACCCCTGACTAAATCTTAGCTGGGGAGGCTCCGGGGGGGCCGCTGCTCTGGGGGGACCTCTGGGGCTAGCCCCACCGGCCACTGCTTGGGTAGTCCCCGGGGCCAGTTGCCTGGAGCTGCCACTGCTCCGGCCACCCTGGGGCCTCCCACCAACCACTGCCTGTGGGGCCAGCCCAGCAGTGGACGGTGTGGCTGTCCCTGGGGCTGCCCAAGCAGTCGGCTGCGGGCCAGCTGCTTGGGCGGCCCTAGAATCAGCCACATTGGTCACTGCAGAAGTCACGGAAAGCCACAGAACCCATGACTTTTGTGACCTCCATGACAGACACGCAGCCTTACTTATGAGTTAAGTCATGTCAGACCAGGTCGGTACTTAGATGAGAAGCTTTTGATGATTACTGTAGGTCTTCAGAGAGTGGTTTTGTTGGCTCAATAGGTGGCAGGTTCCCCACCTGACACACTAATGAACCATCCCCAAGTGCTGGTGTTAGGAAGCCCTAGGGAAGAGATGTAAACACCATTAACTTTAATGGCAATTACATTTAGGCCAATAGAGAATACTAGTCAATAACCTAAATATGTACTTTTCTACAGTGTATTAGTTTCTTTTTATGAGAGCAACGTTTATGATTTTTGCTATGGCCGTTACTGTGATTTTATGGAGGTGAAATCTACCTGTGCTTATGTGACCAGATCTAACAGCAAAATAAAAGCTGGGTATGCTTTTTAAGCATTCAGCTTTGGAATTACAAATAAATAAATATTAATACTAATAATAAATTTTCCAATAGCTAGTGTATGATCATGTACATTCTTTTTGACTTTGTTGTGAAATACACTTTTCAAAGGCGGTAGAGTACGTGTAGTATTTTCTCACTCCTGAAGTTTATATCACTTTATTTTCTGCAAGTGGAAAATTGAATGGATGGCTAATCCTACCATTCTGTGGTTGGGATGAGGCTAGAAAGGAGCACAGAGAATGAGCAGGCAGCTCCAAGACCAAGAAGGCATAGTATGGAATGGGCCACAGAGTAAGAGGTGAAAATGAGAGGGAAAGAGCAGGGGGAAGAATGTAGAGAAAAGGGGGTGGAGATGGAAGACCTATCCAGTCAGCGAGGAGGTTTAGGAACCAGAAGAACATAGAAGAGGAAAGGCAGAGAGAGAGAGAGAGAATCACCTTCTGCCAGTCCCCGAGAAAAGGCTACTGTACCTTGTGACACCTAACTTGACTTTTCTTGAGTAACTAACGGGATAAGTGAAGGGACCCAGCTGCCTGGTTGAAAGTGGAAAAACTGGGGCCAGAGGAACCTTAAAATCAGACAAAAGGGTATGAAAAGAAGGCAGTGGGTCACATGCCTATAGGCATTAAAAATCTTTTAGACTTCAATAGTTATTAGACAAATATCTTCCCCCGACTTTTCTTTTCATGCCCTCCACCCACCTCAATAAGGCTTTGGGGCTCTAAACCTCCAGCAAACTCAGCTTCTCTCAGTGGCTTTTTTTTTTACCTAGCCCCATCTCTCTCTCTTTCTTCCAGCCCTCCATTTCATTCTTCATGAATTCTGTGCCCATGCTCATTTGTCAGTGGAAACCATCCTGATGGGATCTCTGCCATCCACTCTGCATCACCTGAAGCAATCCATTGGATCACCAGCCAGGACTTGGACATCTAACACTGCTGTTTTTAAGCCATAAGAAAGAAAGAAAGAAAGAAAGAAAGAAAGAAAGAAAGAAAGAAAGAAAGAGAAGAGAAGAGCTAGTGAATCTGCTGGTTCTAAAGGTATGTTTAAACAGCAAATGGCACATTTTCAGGGTTAGAACCTAAGAAGAGGTGTGGGCATCAGAACCCAAGCTCCATTCAGAGCCCAAACATCTATTCAGTTATTTTTAGTGCCATAGCATGAGCTCTGTGAGACAGTCTGTCAACCCCAGCTCTGAGACTCGCTCTTGTGGGCTGTACCCTAAATAGCCTTCTCTCTCCTACCACTCCTCCCTCCCACCATTGGCCCTCATTGGGACTAGGACTACTCCTCCCCCCCACAGTGGTCTATGAGGAAGGCAGAACCCCCTTGGATACCTGCACAGGTTACCCAGACCTTGGGTTAAGTGCAGGAGTAAGTGGGCACCATGTGCATGCTATTCTCCCAGGCCTCTGAAGCTGATGGGCTGGAAAGTATGGGGAATGTTTAGAACCTTTGTCCCAACCCCATACACCCTCAATGGGCTGGTCAGCACATCTGAGCCACTTAATTTATGCTGACATAGGCCAGAAGCAAATTACTGCACCACCTTCTCCTGGAAGGAGGTAGGATGCAGGGAGGGAATGGTGCTTCAATGGAATATCTGCTGCTTATGCACCACCAATTGCTTACAGCTGTGCCTAAAAGCACCATCCAGGCTTTAAAGTGTTTCAGTAATTGGACCTTGGAGCTCCTATATGCCCTAAGTGATCACTACATCTCTGTGTGTGCATGGGGAGGTGGGGGTTTAGGTGAGAGGGGACTGACACAGGGGTTTGGTACTATAGTAAGGTGTGAAGCAGATTCAACAGTTTTGACTTAACCGAATTTCTGCCATGTGTTGCTCACTTGTCGAGCCAGTCATTGCACCAGGTGGCACTGATACTAGAAAGCATCACAGTGCCAATGAAGAAGGCTTACTGATGAATTCATTTTGAAACCACTGTTGTGCAGCAGCTTAACAATTAATCAAGGAGAAAGATGAATTGCAAATATATTGGTCTGTAAGGTCCCAATACTCCACTCTGACTTGCAGATACTAAAGACAAACTGATTATGATTGCCCTTTACTTTCCTTCCAGCTTAAAGATAGGGGAAAATATTCCAGTTGTATGAGACAGGCAAGTACCTTGCAACGATGCCTATGGTGTAATGTTTTACTACGTGCTGTTTAATGGCACGTTTATGATTACAAATAGGTAACAGTACTCATCCTAAAAATGTTTAGACATCTGGATTCCCCTAGTACTCAGAGTTATTCTCGTCCACCAGATTTGTAGAATAGTCCAGATGCATTATAATACTGCGTGCATAATAAAGGCACATTTTAGAAGGCTACATAAATGCAACTGGAACAGATAAATGCATAATATTAAAAATACACATATTTTTTACTAAGGAAATTAAATACACAAGATAGGTTTAGATCAGTGTTAAAGAACATAATGGGAATGGCAAGTGGCATAATAGGAATAATGCCATGAGATTATCCCAGGGTAATAGGGAAATAATAGGAAGGGGATAGTATTAAGGACAAAAGACGCAATCCTGCAAGATATCGAGCAATCCCTAAGAAGTGCTAAACTGCCTCAGCTCCTTTTCTAGTCAACAGGAGTTGAGGGTAATGAGCACCTGGCAGGATCAGACCCTAAATCAGAAAATTCTAAGCTAAAGTTGACACTCTCAGCCTGGATTTACATGAGATGCCAATTTGCACTTCTTAACAGGAGCTGACCACATTGAAAGGACTTTCGAAACTGTGGCCAAATTTTCACTATGGGCTCAATCCAACTACTACTACACAAAAAGTAGTAACAAAAGATGGAAAGACTCCCATTGAGTTTACCAGTAGTTGGATCAGGCCCCTTTATCAGAAGACACTCTAAGAGTGTTGAAAATTGGCTTAGGAAGCTATGTAACTAACATATCTACATAAACCCCGTGCTGCTGGCACTGCAGTTAGATGGCTCCAGCTTAAGTTGATTTTCAATTGTTGGCCATCCAAGCTGTGTGTGCCCTACAGCCCATTCCACTCCTTATTAGAAGCCCCTGTTACATGCATAAAACTGGCATCTAAGACAGGGTGGTGGAGCTACAGGAGATGGTGCTTCATGATAAAAACATATTTTGATTTCAGGCCAATATTTTCCTGAAGTAGAAAAGTATCTTTTTGAAACGAACAAGCCCGCTGTAGTGAGCCCTTGACTCAGGGTTCAAGCAGGATTCTTTTAGTAGCGACATTACCTGGATCGATGTGAAAATGTAACGACTAAGACCGGATCCTGCATACACATATGCATGTCTTCTAATAGTCCTGCTGCTGCTAATGGAACGATACACCTGCACATGTGGAGAGTTTTTTGCAGGACTGGGTTTGAAGGCCCCACTCTGCTCCCATGTAAAATCAATTAGAATTTTGTCATTGACTGTAGTAAGATCAGATCCTGAGCTATCAGCCTTCTTTAAACACTGAATCATGTTTTGCAGGTGCTGCAAAATGCACTTGTATATTTTAGGGGCCAGAGCAAGCCCACTTTTGGATATAAATTTAAATCGCTCTGAGGTGCTTTCTGTTGCAAATCATATTTTGACACTTACGAATGGAGTATCGGTGATTTGCTTTGACATCTACATGCCATTTTGATAGGTTGAGCGCAGATCTCTGAATATTCTACTTTTGTCCTGTGTGCTGCATCAGTAAGGTTTTCTTTTTTATTTGAATAATTTCATAAAGTTTAAGGCCAGAAGAGATTACTAGTCTGTCCCCCTGTATATCACAGGCCACCACCACCACCCTCACACGAAACCCAACAACTGAATTAGACCAAAGTATTACGAACTGAGAGTCTCTCTTTGAGTATAATGGCTTTTGGCAGTCTGGCTGAGCATTGTCACCTTGAAGTGCAGTTCCCCCTATTCAGAGCTCTATTTAGGCTGCGACAGCAAAAGCCCACAATAGAGGCTAGGAGTGCAGAGGTGCTCTGCCCAAAGACATCGTGGCTGATTCAGGCATAATGCCTCCAGGAGCACTGGAGGAGTGACCACCAAAGTGGGAGCTACAGCACCCTGTGAAGATACACGGTGCCCTCACCTTCCAGCACTGCTGGCTGGGATGGGCTGGCTAGAGCTAGACCCCAGTTGTAGCTACCAGTTAGGTAGGTGCACAGATCTGGGAGGGTTGCTGCTCTTTGCATTGTGCCCCAACAATCTAACCTGCCATATTATTCTGGGATGTGGCCATCGTTGGGGAGAGGTGTCTCTGATTCACAAAGATTTCCACTACTCCTAAGACACTGAGGTTTAGGCATCAGCCCTGGCTCAGGGTTGTGCCTGAAGGACCAGTCTAACCCCTAGACTCTCAACTACACACTTCGCACTTTGAAACCGGTCATAAGTATCCTCGTGATAACATCCACCTCATCGTAATCACCACAAGTCTAGTGGCTAAGTCCTGCCTGACAGGGAGAATGCACCATTCTTCCTTAAATGCACAAGGCAGAGCATCCACATTCATATTTTTAGTAGCATATACCAGTGGTCCAACCTTTAGTGTACTGTATGTACTTTTAATAATCTCCATAAAAGCCTGATTTTCAATCCCTAGGCTCAAGCTGACAGTGTAAATAAAATCACCCAAATCCACAGGGTAAGAGAAATGAAAATGACAAGGATTAAAATTTTGTCAAACCTCTTTCTTTTTAAAATTCTGCTTCCCTTCCAATTGGATCACGACCCTCTGTGTGCACAGCTTAAGACCAGACGGTATGCTTTCACTTTTATTCCGCTCTGCAGCAGGCTTACAGTATTTAGTGAAAGTCTGTAAAGAATGTGTGCTGTGTAGAGAGTTAATACCATAATCCCCTATCGTTGGGGTCAAATGCTGAATAGAGCAGAAGAATTAGAAAATATGTTACATACAATGGCAGAAAAAACGCATCGGCATGCTGTTCTGTTATCACAGGCATTCATTACCAACAAGTAAATGGCAATGAGGTAATAGAGTATACAAAAAGATGTGTACTTCAAGTCTAGTGTGCATGTTATTATAAGAACCTAAGCCTTTGAGTGAGAATCTAAGTACTATATATATATCTATATCTGTACACGTACATACACACACACACACACACTCCATAAACACATATACACATTGTAGTTGGTTTTCCCCATCATGTATAATTGCATCATCCCAAGAAGCAGCTTAAGTTTAGTTTTGAGGTAACAAAATTCAGCCTTTTAAATTATTTCATGGAGGTGAACTTTGAAAGTTCTTTTGTAAAATGTCCTGTGAAGTATGAGCTCTATATTTTGTACTCCAAGCACCGCAGTGCATCTGCCTTCTGGAGAATTCCCAGACACAAAATACAGTCACCTTTGCTAAGGAAGTACCGAGAGAAGAATCTTAATGCTGGAATTTTCAAGAGAATCTGAGGGAGCTAGGCACCCAAATCCCACTGAAATTTATCAGGGTTTGGCTGCCTCACCCCCACAGGATCCTGAGAAAACCCCAGGCTACATGTGTTGGAGGAATCCAAGATGAAGAAACAAATATATACATACTGTATGTAATAGCAGATTCTGTGCAGTGGTTTTTGGTAGCTGATTTAATTACACAATTTAAAAATCAAATCACAACTAGTTAGGTGATTGATTTATGCTTTGATAACAGTAAAGAGTTGGTAGTGGAGTGACAGTATAGAACTAGAAGAGGAATGAAAGCTATCAGGCCTCCTTCCTTCACACTAAGTAGCATCTGATTCCATCAGCAGTCCCATTGATTTCAGCCTGGCTATTAAGTTAGGCAGACTCTGGCCAGTACAACGCTGAGCTAAATAACAAGCTGGGGTACTTAAAAAAGTCTTGCAATAAATAGCAAGTTAATGACAAACTGTAGAAAGCATTGCAATAACATGTTACTGTACCTCTTTGTCCCTTGTGAGGGCTTTATCTTATCTCATTCATGACCAGTTGTGGAAAGTGCAAAGAGGAAGTTGACCATAGAGGCAATGTATGGGTTGCCTGTATTTATTATCATGCTGTG